CTTTCTCCGGCGAATCAATCTCTTGGCCAAAGTTCTCCAAAGTCCTTTCCGCCAGGTTGCGCGGGGCCTCGTTTTTTTGCTACAAGTTGGCGACGTGTTCGAGTTAAGCGGAGAAGGCCTGGGTTCTAGCCTTTGCATCTTGGCGAATCGAAGACTCGAGTACTTCAAGGGGCGGGGTACTTCGTACGTGGCTAGTAGCCCAAGAAACTGAGTACCATGGTGGGTTATGGTTCGACCCCACTTGCTAGCCTGTAGGGAAACCAAAGCTGAACATGGTTTAGGGCCCCTTGCCAAAAGTCGGTGAGTTGAGTGGAAGGTTAAAACCCGAAGGGGTCCCATATTTGATTACCAAATGATCCTCCATTTGCTTAAGTCCTCTGAAAAGCATGAACCAAAAACCAGTGGTGACAGAGTCGCTTTAAAACCAACAGGGGGAAATCAAACACAATCTTAAGCAAACGGAAGTTGTTTATCCTGTTTGGGGCTTATCTTAAACTCAGCTGCCCACAAGACCCAGAACAATCAAGATAACTATCCTGGACCAACATTGGAAAACCAAAAGGTCAACAGGTGTTTTCTGGGCAACCGAGCTTAACGGGGGTTCCTCCCTCCCAAACGAAACAACTCACTGGGTCCCCTGCACTTCATCTTAAGCCACCCCCCGTGTATAATCGTGCCTGAACCAACATATGTTTCAAAGCCGAACCACAAAGATAAAGGCTAATCACGGCTGAAGGTAAAGGTGCAAAGATGAAACGTGGAGGGGGCCGTTTTTGTTAGATACATAAATATCAAAGGGGCAGGGTACCTCAGGCAAGTATACTTGTCACCATGGCTTTGTGGGTAGCCAGGCTTACTAACCACCCGCTTTAAGTAGACTATAGTAGACTTAAACCCGGTTGTCCTTTCGAAACCAGAACCCGATGTTGTTTTTCTTCCCAAACCCTGACCTGGAGTCAAAGCCCTGGATTTGGTAGACTTCCTTTTAGGGAAACCAGCACCACCTGATGTTTTTTTTCTTCCCAAACCCTGACCTGGAGTCAAAGCCCTGGATATGGTAGTGGACATTTCTTGGGTCTTGGAGACTCGCGGAGCCGAAGTTGTTCTGGAATTGGGCGGCTTTCCTACAGATACCAAAAAGGGATTGCCATCCCCGTCACTACTCAATCACTTACAAAAAGGGGGAATCCCTGGCAAAGTGGCAAAACGTGTACGAAAGTACTTCAATAGCCATGGTTGTCACCCACTTATGGCTACAAGTCTCCGTTCAGTGAACCACCAGGCTTTCTCTCACCACTTTGACGTATCCGAATTCGCCCCAAGTCTCGATGTTGAAAGTGTTGGGCCGAGCCAGTGGGCCCCGTCTAAAGTGTCTTGGATCGTCAAACTGCCCTTAACACCGGGGGGCATTGGCCCAAACCTTAATCCTGTGCTATGTTTTGAGCAGGGCTGTGGGGAATGGAATCCACTTCTGTGATACAACAGAAAGGGCTTCCCAAAGACTATTTTCTTCATATAAAGGGAGATTCCCTTGTATCACAGAAGTGGGGAGAAACCCCTTGATCCCACAACCCTGGTTTTGAGGTACTGTAGTTTGAGGGTCCAACGCGTGTTCGGCATGTGAGAGTGACTAATTACATCTTAAACACCTTTGGCTCGCCACTTGCTCAGAAGCCGCCACTCAAATCCTGACGAATACTCCCAGAAATCGACAAGTTCACTTGACTTGCAAAGTCATGGGAACAAAAAGACCAATCTCGTTGTTCCTTCCCTCTTTTTTTTTGCAGGGGGAGGGCAACGGAGCAGCGCCCAAACACAACACACCAAAAGGACCATTTGAGTACTTGGTTCATACAACAGCTCCCCCCAACCACTGCTTGTTGGACGCTACATGGGATGTTGGACAGGGAATTTCAAGGGTAACCAATAGGAGAATCAAGCCCTTGGGGGGTTCCGCTATTTGAAGACCCCTGACTCCCTGACTTCTCGCTTAGCATCCCGACTTCTCCGCTGTGAGCGTCATAAACTGCTCGCAAAGGTCGCCGTCCACACCTCGGGCGTAAACCAGAACCCTCGAGCCTCGAAAAAATCTGCTCGGACCCTCAAGCCCCAACCAGGAAAGTGGGGGCAATCCTGCACCACGCAAGAAACCATGGAATGATTCGATTCCCCAACGTACATACCAACCAACATTATGGTTTCAGCCATGGTTTCAAACTGGTGCGAAATGGATTTCGCAACCATCCACAGTATAGGTCCGTGTTTTTTGTGAGGCGGATGGTCTGCGAGAAAAACCAAGAGGAAACCCGATGCCATCTTGGAGCGGTCCAACCTTTTCAGAAGACACGCCCTTATGGGAAATCATCCCAAACTGGGGCAAGAGTCCCAAATCTTGAAGGGTCTTAAATTCCAGGTCCACTCTTCGGTTTTTTTTTCTAAAAAAAACACAAACAAACACCAAAAAAACAAACATGCAGTCATCAATGGGTCAAAACTCGCTGGCTCTCGCTTGGGCCTTTTTCTTTTTTTTCGCGGCGACCGGATCGATCCCATTTCTGTGCTTGGCGACCAATCCTAGGCGATCCGTCTGATTCCCTGCGAAAAGTCGAAAGCTTGTGGGTTGAATGGACACCCAAGCACTAAGCCAACAAAAAACACCTAAACCCCTAAGGAACCTTTAACAAAAATCCTTGTGGGGATTAAATTTCCGACACCCAACCATTAAATTCGGCAACCAATAAACCACTAGAAACCACAAAAAAACTCTCCCCATGCCCCTCCCCCAAGAAAAGATTCGAAGGAGCCCTAGCCTAGGAGTTCTGATTTCTGATCAAAGGCTCGGGTTCTCACAATTATGGGCACCGAATGATTACTCTAAGGAGTACCTGATCCTTCAAAGTCGGGAACCCGAGTACCACGTTGAGGCATGGAGAATCACCCGGAATCTGTGATGACATGATAGTTCCCATGAGAGCTTAATCACTTTGCAAGGGCTTCCTGCCACTGAAATGTTCCACACGATGCGGAATGTGGGATCCAAAGACCCTCCAGGTACCTTACACTTCGGAGGGTAGCCAGGCCATGTGGCTGGCTCGTCTTTTTTGGAGTCGCTACCCCTTTCTTGGCTGGTTTCTTGATGAGAACGAAGAGGAACATTTTCTTTTCAGTGCAGTCACTGGATTCCCGATTCAAAAGCTGCAATTGACTGGCCTCCAGTAAAGGCTGCCACTGTTGGTTCCAAACACGGAGATGGCTCGGAGACCTTGTGGTTGTCCCTCGGGAAAAAAAGGGAGAAACAAAAAATATTATTTAAGGAGAAACAAAAAGGAGAAACGAAAAAAAGGAGAAACAAAAGGACCTTGTGGTTGTCCAGGGAGACGAAACAAAGATCAACAAAAACAACAACAAATGTTCGTCTCCCTGGCCAAGGCCATCACAGTTCTGGACAGGGAAGTGGTAGGAGCGGTACCTCAAGACTTCGAGAAGACGGAGGCGACTCGAGCATCGCCCACCAATCCCTGCTCCCGGGTTTGGTGGTTGCAAGGATCTAGGCTGGAATTAGGACCCCAGCAAAAAACAAACTTGTTTGCTTAGTGGAAAGCAAAGAGACCCCAAAAAAGCAAAAAAACAAACAAAAAGGGGAGCTAATTCTGGGGAAGGGATGACCTCCCTTGGTTCAAATTGGTCCCCAATTTAGAGGGGACATGAGAAAATGAGTGAGCCCCCTGCTTCGGTGTTCGATTCGCCAAGTTAGTAAGTTGCTCGTTTTCTAAAGTTATCACCCGCATAAAGAAGTCCCGCTATCTGGAGTCAACCTTGCTATTCTGCGGTTAAGCCCAGGCTAACCAAGTACTGACCTGGCCCAACATCTAAGTGGGAAATACGTAATTCAGCCTGTTTTCACCCCCTGAAAAGTCGTCTGCTCAGGGTGCCCAAAGATTAAATGTGTGGATTTGGATGAGCAAGCCGTTCTGGGGGCTGCCTTTTGAAAGGACAGAAGAGCAACGAAGCAAAACACGCAACACTAAGTACTCAACACAACTCAACAAACAAACAAACAAACAATCCTAGGTCCTCCAGTAGAGAGGTTAGAATAAGGGTACCCTTTTTCTGTAGTCTATTTTAGTAGGGGAACCCGCCCCCCAAAAAGGGTGAGAAAGGGCACCTACCTGGGGGACCTAGAATCAATCAAACCAACAAACAAACAAACAAACAAACAAACAAATAAACAACAAACATCCCCCCAGATCCCGCTCAAAGCACAGATCATAATTCCGCATGCTGATCCCTCACGTTCTGCGTGCCAGGACGGTGCCGGAGCTCTCAAAGAACGTGTGCGGTTCCAATGCTATGCGCGTTTTAATGTTCAATCCTTCTGGTATACATCCTTCTGGTATATATATATATATATCTATGTGTCTATGCATCTCTAAGATGGAAAACAGATTTGGAAGGGTCCCTGCGACATCCCCGGAGGATGTCTCCTTATCTTCCCTTGCTTCTGGGCTGCCCGATTTCCGATCCCCCGCTGAAAGTGACTAACTTTTAGTGGGCTCGTTGGAAACTACCACTAAACACTAAAAAGCTAAAAGGCTAAGGGGCTGGGAGCCACCAAGTATATATATATATATATACACACCTACAGTTTGGTCCGAGTCTTCTTCAAGACGGGCGTGTAAGCTCATACTATGTATGTACCTAGTAAGTTGTGTGTTCTCAGAAAAAGGAAACACACAAAACCTAGTTTAAACATCAAGTTCTGATTGGCATATATATATATATATATATGTATTGTAATATTTATAATATGTATCACATACTTGTACCACACCATACCTTATTAGCTATGTTAGTTGTCATTCGTGTAATAAATACCAAAGACATGTATTTAGATGAATGCTATCGTTTATGTGTCGGCGTGTCGCACAGTTGCGCGTTCTCAGAGGGAGCATTTTAGGGGAAACTATCATGGACCCTAAGGGGGGGGCTATGGGAGTGGGGGGGGGCTAAGCCTAGGATAAGCCTAGGAGCCCAGGATCAGCCCGGCAGCCCTCTCACACTTCACCTCCCGTAAGGATTTGACCCCTGGAATTTGATTTATGGTTCCCAGTGGAGAAAACTGAGCATGGGGAGTGGGGATGCCTGGTACTCCCTAGGGATCCGGGGGTTTCACCCGGGCTTGCTAGAACCTGAAACCTGACGCTTTTGAAAAGCGTGATGCACATGGGCATGATCTCAAATTAGGGACCCGAATTGGTGAGCGTCATTTAGATGGCGATTCACGTCCACCAACCACTTTGAAGGTGGCTCTTAAGATTTATACTTGAAGGGGCAGGGTACTTAGTAAGTGGGCAACAACCATGGTTATAACCCACAAAAAAAAAGCTATAAGGCTCCGTTCCGTGGATTACCAGGCTTACTCAACGCTTACCTGACGCACCGAATCGATCGCCCCTCCTCCGTGTGCTTAAGTCTCCTAGAAAGACGAGAAAATATGTCCGGTAGTGAAATCGATTCCCTTTAAAACCAGAGGAACATGAAACATACTCACTTCACCAAATGGAAGCTCTCTAAGTTACAACCCGCTTATCATGGGGGCTGGGGGGGAGGAGGGGAGGGTGAGGGATCCCAAAAACAAAACCTTATTTTGCCCGGCCTTAAGGCCTTAGTTAGGGCTTTGGGCTCCCTCCCCCTCCCCTCCCTCCCCCCCAGCCCCATAAGCTTACCCATGGTTACAAGTCTCCTGAGTGGCTCAAAGGCTTACTCTCACCATTTTCCTGACGTACCCTGCCTCGATCGCCCGTTTCAGTAGCCACATCAAAACAAAACACCGGATCGATCCATCGCTTTTCTGACGTACCCAATCGCCCCATTAAGTAGCTACATTACAAAAACACCAAAACCAACAACCACAACCACAACAACAACCACAACCACAACAACAACCACAACCACAACAACAACCACAACAACAACAACAACCACAACCACAACAACAACCACAACAACAACAACAACAACAACAACAAAAGCAAAAGGAAAAGCAATAGCAAAAGGAAAAGGAACAACAACCTACCGGATCCATCCGGGTCACATGATGTGATCTCGCCCGCAGAGGGGCGGCTTCTCAGCCCTCACGAACATCTCGAGGTGCTGGAAGAAGTCCAACTCGCGGCGCAGGGGACGGCAAAATAGGAACCCTGCCAAAAACGGTGAGGTTGTCTTTGAGTTATGTTTTAATTTTGGAGGCCATCTAATCAGGCAACTCTTAACTGGTGGTTTGGATTGGCACTTTGATTCTTGAAAACCCCGGTGCTTGGTCACCTGCAAGCTAATCCAAAGCATCTGATATGAGGGCAGGCTACAAAAAGAGACAGTTGTCCCAGTTGTCAGTTGTCCAAGAACTCAACCTTTCGACCTTTCGACCTTTTGCCCTCTTCCATTTGGCCATTAAGTCAAAAGCCTGGTTAACCCCCCCAGTGAACATCCCAATCCCAACTAAAATAGGTTCTAAAATGAGTGGTGCACCTACCCCAAAATGGGATCCCATTGGTTTTGATCCACAGCCAAATAGGGATCCTTACATGAAACACCTGAACATTGCCTTGTAAATGTGTCCCTTTATTTTGGTGGAAAAAGCCTTGTTTCAAATGGTTGCAAATGTATCTTTTAAGGAGCCCGCCAAATAGACGAAGTTAAGTGTGCTTCAACAAAAACGTGGGTGTGCCTGTTTTTAGGGGACCCTCCAAAAGCTGGGATGTCCATGTTGGAAATGACATGACCCTAGGGTTCAACCCCATCTGGCCCAAGGGGACCTCTCTAAGAATGGCCTTGGGGCCCAATTTGGATGAAGAGGTCAAACTGACATAAACCTAGGCTTCAACCCATTCCCGGTGAAAGAATGACCCAAGGGGACCCAATTTAGATGATGACCATCCTGAACTTATATGACCCCAAGCATTGCTTTAATGGTTGATTGAACCCCCCAGGGTTCAACCCCATTCTCTAAGAATGGCAAGGACCCGATTTGAATGAAACTTCTCAGGTAGTAATGGTGGTTATGTGAACCCAACCATTGCTTTAATGGTTGGTAACTGAACCCCAGAAAAAAGCTCTGCAAATTCCAAAAGGCCCCAAAATAACTTTGGTGTTCACTCGGCTCCACTTCGAAAGGAACTTGTTTGTGCCGGCCTTTGGACACGTGGCATACCTCGCAAAGGGCATCACTGTATCCAGCATGATTCCCCAGATGCCCCCTGAAAGCATCCCCTCAAAAGGAACCTCCCAATTCAAGTTGGCTGCTGAAGGGTGATGGTTCATACCACCCTTCAGAGGGGAAATGTGTTTGTAGATAGGAACCCCCTCTAGCGTGGTTGGACATCCCATAAGCCTACTGGTGGTTTACTTTCAAGATCCCAGCTTCGGTGTACCGCCTGGCTCCCTATTGACCAGCAAGACAAGTGCTGCATGAGGGGAACTATGAAACCACATTACGACATCTGACCATACTGTGTGTATAAGTATTCGAGCCACCTTCAATGTGTAACACGTCTCTCAATGAAATCGGATTTTGGTCGCCCTGCTTCCTAAAGCTATGTTGGGGCTCGTTTGGCGCGTGTCATCCGCTTAGATGAGAGCAAATATCCACCGGTGCTGGTTTAGCCCCGCAATGTCATTAAGGGGTTGGGAACACTTGTTGCTGCTGAGTGAGAAATCAGCATTTTCCCTACGAGTTCAATATTAAAGTTCTAACCCAATAACATATAATGTGTGCCCCTCTCAACAGGAAGAATGTGAGGTAAAAAAAATATGCTTCAAAAAAAGAGACATGGGCGTGTGTCTTTTTTCAGCTCAAAGGACCCTCGAAATGGTGGGTTGTCCTTTTGGTTTCCGTTTAAAACCCCCCCAAAAAAAACAAACGGCACCCTCAAAGTCAGACCCGAATTTGTGGAAGCATGCGTGCAGTTGGCGGGACTCCGCAATCCTAGTCCTACAAGGGAAACCACATGAAACCAATAATTACCACTGGCATAAGGCTTGGGGGTGGAGTCTCCTGGAAATCAGCGCAGAATCGGAAAAACAAAAACACATGTTTAGACTCTGCATGCTTTTGGGGGACCCCCGTTTGGGGGTCCGGGACAACTCGGCGAATCGCGAACATCCCGTCAAAACAAGGGGACACCCAACATATTAGCTTTCCTCTTGACGTCCCTTTAAACCAACAGCCTCAAGAAAACACGGCCATCCGTCATAGGCTGAACTTGTAGAACGTCCCAAGTGGACGAAAAGACTCGATCCGCCTTGACCCAAACCCGCCTCATCCTTGCCGGCAAAGGGGTAGAAGGCCCCGATCGCGCCTCTGCCGATTTTGGGTGCGGTAGTACCCTGTAGTCCACTATTGAAAGAATGGATGACCCAGTTTTAACAATCCTTGAAGATGTTGGTCTTCCGCCCCGCTGCGCACGAAGTCAACGGGCTGATGTTTTCCACTGGCCTGGCTCTAGGTGGCTCAGGCTGCGCATGCCATGATGGCGAGGCCGCGGCCGAGGTTTCAGAAGAAAGTCCCGCCCTTTGGGCAGGTGGCGAATTGGGCCGAAAGGCCGGTGGTTACAAACTCATGTCAACGCAAGTTTCGGGACGAAATCTTCACACTGGTGGGAGAGGCAAAAAAACAAAACTGCCCGTCCCAGGGTCGGTGCCAGGCTCAGGTCACGGTGTCCCGGTTGTGGACGCCCTCCATGTTTTAGCGCGTGCCGCTGCCGGATGCTGGTGCCCGAATGGAGTCGCTCGGGTGCACACACACTCTGCAGGGGCGCCGCGTAGTGATCATTTCCCGCGATCGCTGCTCAGCACATTCTCGGAGGCGGTGGTAGACAATTCCACTCCGGCAGAGGTAGATCGCCGAGGTGGTGGCGTCCCGAAGCACGCCTTCTGTCATTCGCAGGTCGCGGTGCTGTTGCCGGTTTTCCTGGCGTAGCCGCATGATTTCCCCAGCAGCGATGTTCGCTGACTCGTGCATGGCCTTGAGCTCGTCCTGCGCCTCGATGAGGGCCTCCTCCGTGGACTTGACATAGGCCTTCTCGTCGGAGAGGTCGTTCTCGAGCTGATGGATGCGCTCTTGGAAGCGTTGTGCTTCAGTGAGTCCATGCGTGCGAAGATGGCTTGTCATGACAAAGCCGCACATCAGGATGCCGATCAAGAGGATCATCAGGGGCAGGAACAGCAGCACATAGTCACTGCCGTAGAGCTGCTCCTCGGAGTGGGCTGTGGCCATGGTGGGAAGCGTGAACATCGTTGCTACCCAGAATGCCGTCGAGGTGGTGTGTTGCCGTGCAGGCCGGGAAATCGCGTACTGGTAGGTGCTGTCTTTTCGTTCCTGAGGGGTTTTCTTTCGAGCGGCCTGGTAGGTGCTGTCATCTACCAGTCGTGTCCGGTGGAGTCGAAGCCGGTCCGCCAGGAGCTGGGCGGCGGACACCTTGGTGAGTCCGTCAGCCATTTGGCGTTCCGAAGAGACCCAGCGGCTCTTGCCGTTGATCTCCGCAAGCTTCTCCTTGGTGACGATGACTTCGATGGCGGTGCGCTTGTCACTGCCCAGGGATGCCTGAACTTCCCGCTTCTCGAGGAGGTCATATAGTGCCTTGGCGTCAACCACCAAGGTGGCAGGGGTGTTCATGACGCCGAGCATGGGGTCGTCGAGCTTGAGGTTGGGGTTCATGAGCAGAGAGATGTACCTCGCCGCAAAGGTGAGGGCATCTGCCGCTTCAGCTGCAGCTTGGCTCTCGGCGGCCAAGGTTGAGCGAGCAACCCGTGGCAACCGAAATGAGCGCCAGTCCAAAATGTGGTACTCGCTCTCGAAGCCCTTCTCGATGGCGTCCTTGTGCATCAGGGCGACGATGAAGCCTCCCTGCGAGCTGTGATCTTTTCTAGATGCAAAGGCTGCATCAGACCATGCCACCAGGCAACAGTCTGCAATGGGGGCGATGGGCCGATAGGTGAGGCCAACGTCGTCATTGCTCTTCGCGTACCGGAGGGCCTTGTTGGTGTTGTGGATGGTCTCAATGGTGGCAGTGGTGATCTCGCCGGAGAACATTGAGGTGTGGATTTGTAGATGTGGTGAACTTTGCACTGCTGGCCATTGCAGGGCTCCAAGGAGGGATCGGAGAAGGTTCCTCTCCTTGTCCGTCACTTGCTGACTGTGGTTGGCTGCCTTTGTGGCTGGGGACCTTCTTGAGGTATTCTTTGTGATGTAGTTCCATTGCCGTGGTGGCCTCCTTGCCCGCAGTATTCACCTTGGCTTGGACCTCTTTCCCATCGGTGGCCTCTGAGTAGGTTGGAAGAAGGTGTGTTCTTGAGGTCCTCGATCAATTTCGTGACCTTGGGATGGCTCTTGTCGGCGGTGCCAAGTAGGTCATCAACATGGAGACCGATGATGGCCAGGAGTGGAGGTGGAGTTGAGGTCTCAGGGTTGTAGTCGTCGTAGAGGGCGAAGGCACAGCTGTCAAGCCGGTGCATGACAAGTCCGACCTTCGCGAGTCGTTCGCTGGCTTCTTGATACCAGGCTCGAGGGGCATCAACCAGGCCGTACATGGGCTTCCGGAGCCGCATGAGGATTCGCGAGTTGGTGATGCCAAGAATGTTCCGTGCGTCAGCCGGGAGTCGAATCCACAGGGTGCGGTGTGGAGCATGTTCGCGTCCTTGGAGAAATGCGGTGGAGATATCCGCCGTGAAGGTGCCCCATCCGTTGTTGGCCGCGATGGAGAGGATCATGCCGCGCGTGAGCCTCGTCACGGTGGGCGAGGTGCGCTCAACGATCCCGCTGAGGGCGTCAGGGTCCTTGAAACCCTGCGTGATGAGCCGGGCCTTGGCACGTGGACTGCCGTCCTCGTTCTTGCTCCACTTCAGGATGAAGTGCGCGCGCAGGATGCGCTGTGCCGGAGCTTCTGACTCATCTGAGAACTCCCACACCTGGTTCTGGAAGAAGCTGGCGAGCTCCTTGCGCTTGGCCTCGATGAAGCTCTGCTGATCTGCGAGGCTCATGGTGCGCTCGGAGAGGTTCTTGGAATCCTTCTTCCGCTGTTGTGGAGAGCCGGCATAGGTCTGGTGACCTTCTGACGTGTTGAAGAAGTGCTCGTGGGCCCGTACTCGGTCTCGCGGTTGGATCTTGAAGGAAGTGCGTCCTGTCCAGTAGATTTGCTCGTCAAGGTGGTTGGAGCGGCAGCGCCAACGATCTTGTCGCGATTGGCCGTCTGCGAAACGAGTTGTTCGGGACTTGTGGAGCATGGGTAGGGGAATGGGACAATTCCCGTCCTCGCTTGGGTCGTAGAGCGTGTTCCGGGGGATGTAGTGGTTGCGGATGAGGTAGTTGCCATTTTTGGAGAGGGTCCAGTCGTCGTGGATGGTGTCCAGCACAACATGGCCTGAGGCATCAGCGTGCCATCCTGGTGGGAGAGGCATGTTGTTGTCGCTGGTGTCGTCGACGATGTCGACCTTGAAGGCGTAATCCGCTGTCTCGTCGGGTGGTTGTTGTTCGTATGGTCCAGGTCGTTGGCCGCGACGATGGCTGGGGCCGTAGGAGATCGTTTCCTGTCGGTCTACCCGTCGCCGCTGTTCGTGGAAGGATTCACGCTCGGTCTTTTTGTAGAGGTCGAAGTCAGTAGAGGTAGTTGTTGTCGAGGCTTGAGGTCCATGTGGTGGAGATGAAGCTGGTTCGGGTTCTGCCGATGGTTCGGCAGGGTTGTGGCCGTCTGTTCCTCGCGATCCAGAGGTTGAGCTGGACTCAGCCGTCGGTTCAAGCGTAGGTTCGGTCATGGTGGGTGCTGGTGGAGCTTGTGAGTTGCCCATGGTCACATCGCCCTCGTTGTTGACCACAACAAAGCGAGTGCGACCGATCCATGGGTGTTGGATGTCGAAGTGCGAGTCGAAAGGTTGGTGCCAATCATCGTTGCGGTGTTCTGCATCGGGGGCAGGTAGGCCTGTGTCCGATGCCAGGCGGTAGATCTCGGTGTGCCGGAGGCTTCCGAGTCGGTGGTATGGAATGTCAGGGTCGTCCGGTGATGGGCAGAAGAGCTGTTGTCGTGGGAACTGATGGACTCGGTCGAAGGACAGTCCGTCGGGGGCAGGCTCCCAGTAATCGACCAGAGGTTCGTGGTCCGGGGATGGTCGCTTTGGATCTGGGTCCACATCCTCATCATCGGAAACCACATCGTCGATTTTGCGCTTGTTGGATCGGAAGAGGTCGACGTAGGTGGTGGTTCCTCGATTCCGGAGGTCCTGGAGGATCTTCCGTGGCTCGGTGTCGGGGATGGTCTTGTCCTCGAAGGTCCGTCGGACGTGTTCGGGGGCTGCACGGAGAAGGTTGGATCCGTGGACGATCCAGTAGCATCGGGGCTTGCCGGTCTCATTGTCGGTTTCGACCATGACGATGGTGGCCGGGCCCTTCCATTTGATCTTGGGTCCAGTCCCAGCGGCATCCCTCCAGTAGTAGACTTTCATGCCGATGGTGAGGGGCTCGGAGTTGCCGCGATACTGTCGGAGAAGGGCTCGTCGGAGTCGGGCGTCGGCATCGGCGGCGAGGATGGCTTGACTCGCTTTGAGCTGTAGTTGTAGCTTTTCATGGAATTTCTCTGATGGTTGAAGTTGTGTCGGGTTGAGGCCTTCTTCAACGAGTTGGCCAGGAAGGTGAGGCTGGTAGCCGAGTACCCATTGGCTCGGGGTGAAGCCTTTGTAGGTGGACATGCGGTTGAGGGCCGGGATGGTGAAGTCGAGAGCGTCCTTGAGGCCTTCGATGCTATCTCGGCCGGTTTCGGCAATGAAAATGTCGATGGCCCGGCGAAGGACTTGGTGTCTCCTTTCGAGGAGACTCAGGCGCTCGTGCGCCTCCCCAGGGCTGATGATCAGCTCGACGGAGTGTTCGCCAGTCCATTGCCGGACGAGGTCAGCGCACCATCCCCGATGTGAATCAACTTGAAGTTGTTGAGGGGGTCCGAAGGTTCGTACCCAACCTCGCTGCACAGCATTGAGGAATTCCTGGCTGGTTTCTGCTGGAAGAACTCGGGCAGACATGTACCGGGTGGCAGCGTCCAGCATGGTGAGCACCGGTACTGGTTTTCCTTGAACTTGGATCCACAGGGTGTCGGCCTGTAGGCGCTGGTTGAACACGAAGGCGGTCCGAGTGGTGGATTTTGGTGTCTGCACCGGCTTGGCATAGCGATGGCAAAGTTCACAGTGGTAGTCCTTCACCGCAAGGATGACGGCCTCGGATGCTCCTCTGGCTTCAAGGAGTCGCAGGAGCTTGGCTTGAGTAGGATGTCCGAGGTTCCTGTGCAATCTGGCTACCAGGCGCTGGCTTTCAACCGGG